CAAGTTAACGGGATTTCGAACTGTGTTTCGGCTTTTTTATCACTTCGATTGGCATTTCCACCGGTGGGAGCGTCTATCATTACATAATCTGCATTAACAATGGAGAGATATATTGCCATCTTACATCCATATTCTTACATTAAGCTTGTGACAAAGAAGAGAATTTTGATCTATGTTGCTTCTGGTTCAGTATACTGGTATCATTTGTTGCAAGTCTGTCAGTTTTAGTCGAAAGATTAATTCATTATTTTCTAGCGCAATAATTTTGCTCTTCTTTGTTGTCACTACATTTGCTTATACTAAAATATTCCAGGTTATTCGAAGTTTAAGTCCAAGCTCTCAGAACCGACCTGACGACCATGTTTCAACAGGAAATTTAAGGAAGACAAAACTGTTACTCCGAGAGATTAAACAAGCAAAATCCTGCTTCATTATAGTAATGTGTTTTGTGGTGTGTCTATTCCCTACAGTTGTTGCGCTTCTTTCTTTTGCTTTCAAGTTGCTTGATAGAGTAAAGCAAAGGCAATTCGTATCTGGGCTATTTCATTTCTCATGATGAATTCTACCGTAAGCTCCGCGTTGTTTTCTTGACCAAGAAAATGTTACGGAAAGAAGCAAGGAAAGTGCTGAAAACCTGCGTTTGCGCAGGTTCGTAGAGTTTTGAAATAATGGAGTATTGGACATTTCACATCGTCTTTACAATACATCGTACTTTCAGGCATATTATTCAAGCTTGCCCGGTGTGGATATACACTCCGAATAACATCACAAGCATCATATTCACCTGAGTACATTACACCAATACAGAAAAAATACATCGTACAAACATGTCAAACACCTTTACATCGTTTTCGTGAATTCGGTTTTGGAGGGACCATACAGTATGCGAAAATGGTTTGGTTTTTATCTGACTAATCAAGACCAACAAACAACCGCTTTGGTAGTAATGTCAACATCACTTAGTAACATCCGGAGTACTACAAAGGGTCCACTCTTGGTTCGCTGTTGTTCCTACGCTCAGTATGAAAATTACTTCTGCGAGGCCGCGCATGAGTAACTCAAAGAACATCAATTCCAGCTCGGATGCATGCATCTGCTCTGCAGAATGACTTAAGAACTTCAAAAATGCTCCATCAAGATGGCATTAATTTTAAGCAAATGCGAAGTGTTGAGCTAGAGTAATTTGCCAATGCAACAAATCGTTACCCATATAAGATAGAAATAGAAATAGATTATAGAAATAGAAATAGATAGAAATAGATTGCAAGAAAGCCGCGAAGCGTTTGTACGGTCTGCGCCTTCTTAAAAGAAATGCTTTACCTTCTCATATTCTGATCTCAACCTATTGTAACCATATTCGACCAATTGTCGAATATGCTTGTCAGGTGTGGCATTATGGTCTTCCTCATTACCTGAGTGATCAAGTTGAAAAAATACAAAAAAGGGCATTAAAATTTATTTTCCCTGGAACTAGCTAACTTGATGACTCTTTACGAACGTAGAACTGTTCTTTGCAAGCGACTTTTTTCGAAGATGTTGGAACCCACTCATACACTGAATGCCTTAGTACCGCCTAAAAGTCTTCAAACTTATAATATGAGGTCTTATCCCAACTTATTAGTACCTAGGTGTAGAACTGAACGTTTTTCGAACAGTTTCATTCCTGCTGCGTCTCGTGCTTATAATAATAAGTAAACTTTAGATTATTATCGTTATTTTTACCTACTTACCTATTTTTACCTGTAAATATAGAATAGATTGAATACATATGTTCTTATACCCTGTAATTCCAAAGTAATTCAGTTGTTACTGCTAGTTTGGAAATTTATAATAATAATAATAATAATAATAAGATGCATGATACGATTTTAGACATTGTCTGGTCGTGATTTTGGAGTTTTCACATAATTGAAATAAACCTCGATCAAACATGTTGACTGCACGGTCAAAATGTTACCCGAGCCTGTGGAACATGACTTTGTAGATTTCATAACATCTACCTCATTCCAAACAGACGTTCTTTAACCTGTAAACAAGACGCTCTGTTGAGCGTTAGTCGCTGGGGCTATTGCACATTAAGCTGCGATACAGAGTAACGTTGCTGACTTCTGTTTGCTTATGTCTATATGACATTGTCTTGAAATACATGAATATGAAATTGTTTTTTGTCAAAAATGAGATTCAAAATATATCAAAGATAAAGTTCATCGAACAAGTCCCGACCAACTATAGACAAACAAGTTTGGCTAAGTTTGGTTATTCCATAGTTATACCCAATTCAAACTTTACATAACTCGCATGTCTGATTAGCATTGTTCTAGTATAGAGCATAGAGTAGAAAAAAGGTAACTAAGTTTTAGAATTGGCTACCTGCAAGAAAATGAATAACTTTATAGTGTAGTGCTTATTAAATGCTTAGTCACCTTTGTTCTATATTCTATGTGTGAACTACAGTAAAACATTTCCAGGGAATTCCATTGTGCTTGCATCCCTAAGTTGCACTATTGTGTTTCATTATGGCGACTTGACCTTGAAGGGGTCTACTACTGCGGCCCCAACATTTCACCGTTTTAAACACAATACATTGATCGTAAAATGACTAGAATACTGCAGGTTTACAAGACTAACACCCAACGCTGAAGTTCAAGTTCCACACAAGTGCCCGCAGTGATGATAATCCGATCGCTATGCATGCGATTGTATTTCATTCTTGTTAGGCTACACCGTGTTCTTTTGACGGCCTATCCGTATCTGGATTCAGTTGCATTGAGAGCTGTAGAAACAGCAACTTGCGAGTATTATCACATATACGAAGGTTGCTATTCCATTGAACTATGTCTTTGTGAAATTGAAAATTGTCGTCTATTTCAACCTTCCATCCTTCCAGGTTTACTCTATATTCGTGAATCACTAGACTTGTCCGTGTTGGCAAAATGCAGGTTTTTCCAGCTGTCTAATCGAAAAAAAACGTGAAAATTAATATTATGCTGTTTCGAACCTTCTGTTCTATTGAATTTCAAGGCACCTGTAGCAAAAGCTTGAATTTACGCCACCCTGAAAATTGTATTTTTGTAATTTACGGTCAATAGGTTTTCTCTCAAATTCTCATTCTTGCATAGCTAGACAGTCCGTGAACATAGAAAGCAAGTTTTTCCGGATGTGTAATCGAAAAAGACGTGAAAATTAATATTATGCTGTTTCGAACCTTATGTTCTATTCAATTTCAAGGCTTCTTTAGCAGAGACTTGAATTTGGGCCAGTCCGAAGATTGTGTTTTTGGATTCGACGATTAACAGTCCTTCTGCCGATGGCTTACTCGTGCATCACTAGACTTGTCCGTAGAGGTAAAAAGCAGGTTTTCCAGCTGTCCAATCGAAGAAAACGTGAGAGTTAATATTCTGCTTATTCGAATCTTGCGTTCTATTGAATTTCAAGGCCCCTGTAGCAGAATCTTGAATTTACCACGGTCTGAGAATTCTATTTTTGGAATTTACGTTGAATTGGTTTTCTGTCGATTCCTCATTCTTGCATAGCTAGACAGTCTGTGAACATAAAACGCAAGTTTTTCAGGATGTCTAATCGAAAAAGACGTGAAAGTTAATATTATGCTGTTTCGAACCTTATGTTCTATTGAATTTCAAGGCTTAATTCTGTAGCAGAGACTTGAATTTGGGCCAGTCCGAAGATTGTGTTTTTGGATTCGACGATTAACTGTCCTTCTGCCGATGGCTTACTCGTGCATCACTTGACTTGTCCGTAGAGGTAAAAAGCAGGTTTTTCCAGCTGTCCAATCGAAAAAAACGTGAGAGTTAATATTCTGCTTATTCGAATCTTGCGTTCTATTGAATTTAAGGCCCCTGTAGCAAAATCTTGAATTTACCACCGTCTGAGAATTCTATTTTTGGAATTTACGTTCAATTGGCTTTCTGTCGATTCCTCATTCTTGCATAGCCAGACAGTCTGTGAGCATAAAACGCAAGTTTTTCAGGATGTGTAATCGAAAAAGACGTGAAAGTTTTAATATTATGCGGATTCGACCCTCATGATCTATTGAATTTCAAGCCTACTGTAGCAGAGATTGAATTTCGGCCAGTCCGAAAATTGTGTTTTTGGAATCTATGATGCATAGACTTTCTGTCGATGCCTTACTCGTGAATCACTAGACTTGTCCGTAGAGGTAAAAGCAGGTTTTTCCAGCTGTCTAATCGAAAAAAAACGTGGGAGTTAATATTCTGCTTATTCGAATCTTGCGTTCTATTGAATTTGAAGCCCCCTGTAGGAAAAACATGAAATTACGCCAGTCTGAAAATTGTATTTTTCGAATTTAGGGTCAATAGGCTATCTGTCAATTCCACATTCTGCAATAGCTAGACAGTCCGTGAACATAAAAAGCAAGTTTTTCCAGCTGTGTAATCGAAAAAGACGTGAAAATTAATATTATGCTGTTTCGAACCTTATGTTCTATTGAATTTCAAGGCACCTGTAGCAAAAGCTTGAATTTACGCCACCCTGAAAATTGTATTTTTGTAATTTACGGTCAATAGGTTTTCTCTCAAATTCTCATTCTTCCATAGCTAGACAGTCCGTGAACATAGAAAGCAAGTTTTTCCGGATGTGTAATCGAAAAAGACGTGAAAATTAATATTATGCTGTTTCGAACCTTATGTTCTATTGAATTTCAAGGCTTCTGTAGCAGAGACTTGAATTTGAGCCAGTCCTAAAATTGTGTTTTTGGAATCTACGATGAATAGGCTTTCTGTCGATGGCTTACTCGTGCATCACTAGACTTGTCCGTGGAGGTAAAAAGCAGGTTTTTCCAACTGTCTAATCGAAAAAAATGTGAAAGTTAATATTACGCTGTTTCGAACCTTGCGTTCTGTTAAATTTCAAGGCCCCTGTAGCAAAATTCTGAATTTAGGGCAGTCTGAAAATTGTATTTTTGGAATTTACGGTCAATAGGTTTTCTCTCAATTCCTCATTCTTGCATTCTCGAGGTTTACTTTTGGCGCTGTTGTTTTATAAGTTAGCTCGAGCTGATCTAATTCTTCAGAAAGTTGTGTTAAATTTAAATCTCGATGTTTACTGTCACTCTTTATCTTTCGACTCATTGCATTGTCAATAGCTCCCAAAAAGGCATCATGTAACATTTGTTCCTTTGTTTTCTTTGCCGATCCGTGTGTTGACGCGCATAACTCCGGGTAAGCCTTCGCCATCAACTTTTCGATTCTCCACGCTAACTGTGCTGGTGTTTCGCCGCCTTTTCGCCTTAAACCTCGTAATTCCTCGACAGCTTTCTCATGGTCAATCGATTCTTTGTCGAATTCTTTCCTTAAAGCGGCTTTAACTTCTTTTGGGTCATCTTGAAGTTCATCGTCTAATCTCGCAATACATAGAACGCCGCCCCCTCGAGTTCACTCGCTATGGCGTGAGCTTAATCGATATCCCCAGCAAGAATGATACCGTATAACTCTCAAAACAACGATGCTTTAATCAAAGAGCTTAAATTCGCTCTGAAATCCGTGAGGGAATAACAAAATTCGGCCAAAATATAACCGCGTGCCGAGTTTCCTGAAAAAAAGCGGAAGTCGTTGAACAACTCAAAATCACTGAGCTATAATATTACTGGAGGAAGTGCTCGGCAAAAAAAGTGTCCGCAAAATCATGGCGGATTTTGGCGCCATATGACGCCATTTCCATGACAACTGGTTCCTCCGGCTCATGAAATTACCACTGACCAGGCTCAATTCTGAGCCCGCTACAATTTTCACCCCCCCCCTGGTTTTATCAAAAATATTTTTGCTTTTCGACGTTTTTGAAGTAAATTCTCGTTGATTTTTATATTTTTTCGACTTTTCACCATTTGTTCAAAGTTTTAAAAGTCGTACACACTATTCTCACCCGCGAAAGACAAAAAACCGAAATGAAAACCACGAAAAATTGAGGCAAGACAATATTTGATCACACAGCTATTCAGGTAAATTTTCACATACTATTATTGACATGCTTTTATTTTTAATTTTTGAAAGATAGTGGGAGTAAATGATAGAATATAATCCATTATATATCAGGTTCTTTGTATAGCATAACGCCTATAACGTATTATTTTCCGCCGTGTATTCAAAGTCTTGTCGTTGGCTACTGAGATCTACTGACAAATACAGAAACTTTGTTTTTATATTCAATTAAGTTCTTTTTTTTCTTTTTTTTACTTTACTAGCTTTGTTAAATTGTTGGCGGGCCATGGTTTTTGTTAAACAAATTTTGTTTTATTTAATTCAGTTAAATCAGTTTTTTCCCTCAAATCAAAGTTTTTTATATGACTGATGGCTGAAATCTGACATGCTTGATTTTATGCAATTGTATGTGCTAAATAAGTGTATATACAGGTGTAAAGGCATGAAACAATGTGCTTCTATCTTCTGTATTCTTTGTGTTTATATATGCTAGAGTCTGTGTTTATTATAGTATATATGCATAATCTAAGGTGCCAGTAGAAGCTAGCCTAGGGGTGCCAGAAGCTCAGGATACTGTGGGCAACTTATCTGGTAATATGATTTCTATCTAGATTTCTGACTGACATGTTGGGTTGAGGGATCCTTGAACCACTAGAAATAGGATTGTACTTCTTGAATGTTGGGTACCAATCACAAGTGTAGGTATAAGTAAAGAATCTAGATTATAGGCTTTATAGGGTTGCAATGGATCTCATTATACAGGCCAGAACTGAGAAAATCACACATGCTAGTCAGACATCAAGTCAGAAACAATTTAATTTGGTAGATAATGTCACTTCCAGTCCATGCAGGTGGATTTATTTGGGGTTTTGTTCATTTCAGTCCTCTCTGTGCACCCCTGTATCAGATGCAACTACCTGAAACTAAGAAATCAATGAACTTCAACATTTCAAGTGAAAGACCTATAGTATTATTTTTCAGGTAGTTGCATGATACATTGAAGCCTTTAAATAGTGTTGTGGCTTAAGCTGCTTTTCTCATTTCCTTTCTTCACTTCTTATTCTTTTGTCTCTAGTGAAAACTTTATTTTACAACATTTTAATTATATAATCTCTTTTTGGTCTAATTGCAGAATTATTTGATGGTGAGACAGTTCATAGTTCAACCTCTTTATTAAAGAATAATCAATTATCAATTATTAGAAATAATTAATTATGTTAGCAGTGATAAAACTATCCAGACAAGTTATTATTATGACTTTGTAGCCAGATGGGTATGATTTTGCTTTGGCTGTTCAGCATTTTGATCCATAATGTGATATGTCTTGTGGTACCTGTGAATGATATTACCTGCAACTTGAATGACAGAATATCAGATTGTAACATTACATTAAGATACATCCTTACACTGCAATAAAATTATGTAAATATAGATGTTCAGTGTGAAGAATATGGTCTTTGACACCCTTTGTATATAATAAACATGCTATTGTGAAATGGAAATGATCAAATTAAGTTATTTCTGCAACAGCCCTTGCATTCAAACACCTTATTTGTATTTTTCTTGTTCATGCTTGAGCATCAGCCTCAGGATAAGCAAATTCCATTGGATTTGTGAGAGCACTTGAACTATATTGGGTCATTACATGAATTACAGAGAAGATTCAGACTCCCACAGCCTGTGCTACAAAAAAAGTTACAGCTGTGACAATGTAGAGGGGTGATCCAAATAATAAAAATGATGTTTAATATGGACTTAAAATTATTAAGCAATTGAGTGCACCAGCACTTTCCCCTTTAACAAATAAAATTATCTAGCATTGGACTGAGCAAGATAACAAAGTAGGGCACAGTGCCCCGTAATTAATCACTTACTTGAAGGTCTAAATGCTGAATTTTTTGAAAGTGCCAGAGTGGCAACTGGCAGGGTACTGAAAAGGTAGGTTGTGTACATGCATCCTAAGTAAATACTGCTACAAAAACCTGGTAGTTACCAGTTAAAAGTTAAAACCAATCACAAATTTCATTATTTCAAAGTAATATAAAACAAAACAAGTCGAGAAAAGGATTTTGAACCCAAAGTATGAGACAAAATTAATATGAGAATGAGTTTGAACATAAAGAACAAGAAAAAAGAGGATAACTGAATTACAAAACTTCTGTGATATTGTTGAAACTAGCAATATTATACATTTGCTGTTTATAACGGTAGTTTTTGACCTTTTCCATCGAAATGGCAAGTTAAATTTGCCAAGCAGCCCAAGCTTTGGCAAGCTAGAATTTAAAAAATGTAAAAGAAATAAAACTTTCGTGAATCTTACCTGCAAACAAGAAATATAATAATCCTTTCGAGTGAGTTGTTTCATCTACAAGCAGACTAAAAACTTAAAACTAACATACTTTTTCCTCGACTGCGAAATATCAAGATTTTCGGTCGAAACTCGAAAATTATGACCAAAATTTTTGCAAAAACCAGGGGGGTGAAGGATTTTATTTCAAGCGCAGGATCGCGGTTAGTCAGTGGTAATTGCCATGAGCCGGAGGAACCAATTGGCGTCAGCAAACATGAAAATCCGCCATGTATTATAGCTCAGTGCTCAAAATACACTCAACCCTGATTGGACAACGAAAATCAACAAACATTTCAAATTTTTCTCCACAGGGAGGGGGGATAGCACTTGGAACAGTACTGTAATAATTTGATTATTTGAATCAAAACAATTCACAAACGTTATAAAGTCTACTACTGTAAATATAACTGTAAATATAACTATAATTTTACGCTGAAACATCTTGTCAAATAGGGTAAATTACTATCCGTATTTAGGCTACTGACTAAACTTCTTAAATTTAAATAATTAGATTTACACTGGTTTTCCCCCGACAAGATTTGTTAATTGTTTTAATTCAAATTTATATTAATTACTGACTATTGAAAATTTGAAATGTTTGTTGATTTTCGTTGTCCAATCAGGGTTGAGTGTATCTTGAGTTGTTCAACGACTTCCGCTTTTTGTCCAGCAAACCCGGCACGCGGATATATTTTGGCCGAATTTTGTTATTCCCTAACGGATTTCAGAGCGAATTTAAGCTCTTTGATTAAAGCATCGTTGTTTTGAGAGTTATACGGTATCATTCTTGCAGGGGATATCGACTAATCGTGAAAGAAATGCATTAAAGGCGAAAAATCGAGTATAGTTTCATGTGACATATGCCAAGTCTGGGCTATTTTGGTCTCAATGTTTCCTTCCTTCCCTCGTTATAAGGAAGGCACAGGCGGGCGCGGGCAAATCGAGCCTGGGCCTCCTGTGATCTAACAATGCAAATGAGTTACTGGTTAATGGCAGATCAATCTCTGATTCTACAACTATCACTAATGAATTTAATGATTATTTCATTAAAACTGGGGCGAAACTGGCAGCAGAATATGATGATTCCTGCACTAATTATTCTTGTTCTAATGATAATCAGCCCATAAATTATAATCAGCCCATAAATTATAATGGTAATCAATCATCAGACAATTCTCTAAAATTTTTTCCAATACTTGTTGATAATGTTATTTCGACTTTAAAAGCCTTAAAACATGTAAAGCAACAGGTTTGGATCAAATTCCGCCTAAAATTTTAAAATTATCTGCCGACATAGTTGCACCTTCGTTGACATTCATCTTTAATCTGTCGCTTGCAACAGGCATATATGTTGATGAATGGAAACAAGCACGCATGCATGCTATAGCAGTAGTAGTACCAAATCAAAAGAACAATAAAATGTACAGAATTGCCAACCATTTACAGGTTGTTATGTCTGCTAATAATTTGCTGTTCATCTACTTTTATGTTCGTAGTATTATAAACTTTGTAGTTTGTACTTCTGCTTCAAATTTTCTACAATATATAAAAATCTTACCGGTGAATAAAAAGATTCTTCTTGTACATCTCATACAACTACGAGCGGCGCAAAAAGGCAGGATCCTCGACATTGTAAATCAACCAAGTTATAGGAGAAAAATATCAAGATTTTCAGTGCGATTTTTACCTCAAAAACAAGCGAAATCATAAAATATCTGTGCTGAAACCAGGGGGGTGAAGTACATCGTCGAAAGCTTAGGATCGCGGTTGGGACAGTGGTAGTTGCCATGAATCTAGGGACCAGTAGTCATGGCAATGGCGTCAGATCCGCCATGTTTTCGGCTTCACTTTTTTTTCCCGAGCAGGTCCTCCAGTAATATAGTATAGCTCAGTGACCGAAACACGCACAGTGACCCACGCCCGCGATATTTGATGAACTTTAGACTTCGCTAATGCTTTCGTTCCCCCGGGTGTAAATAGCCGGGGGGAATTAGTACCCTCGCACGGCGCTTCGCGCCGTCGGCTCGGGGACAAAAAATGAGTATTTATAGCAGTTTATTTTTGCAGCTT